ATTTTTTCACGAAATTGTAATTTGTAGCGGTTAATAACCGCTACAAATTACAATTTCGTGAAAAAATTTGTAGCGGTTATGAACCGCTACAAAATACATACCTGTAAATTAAAATTCGTTCAGATTTTAAAAATAAAAAAATACTAACTTTCTAGCGGTTAATAACCGCTACATATGTAACCGCTACTAATTACTAGCGCTTTTATATACGCTAGAAAATGAATAACAGCTACAAAATGTTATAAAACGCTACAAAAACACCGCTACAAATGTGTCGCTGATCTCTATAAATACCATATCTTCTCTACATTCATTTACTCCATCTCTTTTCCTTCCTCTCCTATTCTTCTTCATAATTCTCTCTTTTTTTCTTACTATCTCATATTGTGATTTTTTTCTCTTTACTCTATGGTAAGTGAATTTTATTTTATAATTCATTGTATCTTTATTTGTTTTTATTTAAAATTTACTAACATATTTATTTCTCCTTTCCTTTCAGATTTTTCTTCTCCACATTTGTCATGCCCTCCTCAACTGATTCAAATACTCATCAACTTAATACTATAGGTTCAATATTCCAAAATATATCATCTTCAATTCAACTATCTTATTAATATTCAATTAAATTATCTTGTTAGATTAAATTCACTTCTTTTAACACATTCATAATTTAATTACATATTTTTATTACAAAATTTGAATATATAAAATGTAACATATAACTAATTATACAAATTAACAAAAATTCTTCAAAATAAATTATTTAATGGTTTTTAAAATTATAATATGAAAAACCATGAATTTTTTTTTCTGGCACGGTAAACATTTCTAGCGGTTCAGAACCGCTAGAAATATTTTGTCAAATTTAAATTTCGCGCCAAACTTTCTAGCGGTTAAGAACCGCTAGAAAATTTTCCCGCCATTCTAAAAATTCAATTGGTGTGAAAATTTAATTTCCCAAATATTTCTAGCGGTTCTATAACCGCTAGTAATTTTCGCGCGCTACTGAAATTATTTAATTCCCGTTTAGCAGGTTTCTAGCGGTTACAAAACCGCTAGAAATTTTTTCCGGGGAAACTTTTCTAGCGGTTATAAAACCGCTAGAAACGTTTCCCCGGAAAAAATTTCTAGCGGTTTTGTAACCGCTAGTAATGTGTCTCCTTCAGATAATTTCTAGCGGTTCGTAACCGCTAGAAATGTTCTATCGTTTTGACCATGATGTGTAGCGGTTGAGATAACCGCTAGAAATTTTTTCTAACACCTGTTTTTCTAGCGGTTTCGTTAACCGCTACAAATGTTATTTGTAGCGGTTAAAACCGCTAGAAATGTAACACCATAACCGCTAGAATTAACATATTTTTTTGTAGTGATTGGGTTCTTCATCCTTGGCTGTCTAGTATTTCAAGAGTGAATAGACTCACACTTGTCACCTTTATTGATCAAGTTGTCAAGAACTTGAGTTAATTTGGTCTGCTGTGAATTAACCAAGCCTTGCTGTAGCAACTTGCTTAATCTAGAATTTCCTGAAATTCAATAAAAAAAATTTTTGTTTCTCTCGTGAGTTTAAAGCTCACATAAAAGGATTGACTGAATTTGGCAATTAACTTTAACTCTTGAATTGCATTTTTCTAATGCAAAATTCATTGCCTTGCGCCATTCTCACATTGGTTCAGATGTGATTCATAGATTGATTGTTTGTTGAACCAAGCCTTTTCCTAAATTCATTGTTTTCTAACTTTGCATTACTGAAAGCACTCACTTGCTGCATTGTTGGGTGTCTTTGCATAGTCCTGCTCTCTAATTTTGAGTTTTAAATTGAAATATATCTTATGGATTTGTGCTGGAACAACAATGAGTCTGATTCTTATTCTGCTAGCCCAACTTTTGCTGAATAGGGTGTGAACTCAATTGACTCCATACTTTGTGTGCATTGCTATTGTAGAATGCATTTTTGCAATGATTGTCCCCTTAGGATCTATTCTAGAGTTAATTTGGCCTCCTTTCCACCTCACATGCATTTTATTTTTACTTTTCTAATTCTTGTAGTGATCTTATTTCTTCTTTTTCTAGTCATGACGGTCTTAGGAAAGGCTTGTTTGATGATTTTGCAGGACTATATGAAGAAAACGAGACTATCCAACAAGCTGAAAATGATGGGAAATTGCAAACAAAGTCCTTACTTGTGCAATCTGAGGATTCCCAAGCATTCTGCCTTATCAAAGAAGAAACACCCAGATTTGAAACTCATGAACCTAAGGGCCATTTTATTGACTCTATTAGCATTAATCCTTCTTTTAGATGTCATGATAATAATGAGTGTTTGCATGAATATGATATTTCATTTATTGATAAGTTACCTAGTGAATCTGCACATAGAAGTGAAAATTCCTTACATAGAAAAGACATTGATCTGCTTAGGCATACTAGAGCTAGTCTTGAGTGTTTCACATTCTTGCCACATGATAATAACCATGATCAAGGGTCTTTCTATTCCATACTTTCATGTGACCTAACACCTGACATTAAATGGTTGTGGTATTGAATATGATCTCTTTGAGTTTAGTGTTGACAGTCCTCCTAATATGAGTAGTAATTCTAGGCTTATCCATGATTCTACTCATGAGGTGTTCTCTTATGATTTAGCACCAGATTTAATTTCACATAAGCATGATCAATTAAATTGCATGATTTTTATTGATACTATTGATGCTTCTCATAGTTCTTCCTTGTAGGAGTTTAATTTGAAGGCTTTCCACAAAAACAATGCACCTCATATATCTTGGAGCCTCTCTCAATTGATCCTGAACCACCACCAAAGAAGGATAGTGAGAAAGATCAAGTCACATTGCTGAAATTCATGATTCTTATCCAGGATGAGAATTTCTGCTTTAAGAGCCTAAGGAGATTTTGATTCTACGGTTGTCCCTTTTGTTCCTTTAATTTCTTGATTTACCTAAAAGATATTATGAATGGGATTGACTGCTTAACATAAGTGTGGGTGAGGGGACTGGTCTAGTAGTAAAAGTTTGTTGATATGGCTTAGGCTTGGCTCATTTCTCTTGCTCCTATTCACTATGCAAATTTGGTTTTCCCTATTCTATCATTTCTTTTACACAGAGGACAATGTTTGTCTCAAGTGTGGGGGGAGTGTGAAATATTCTGATTGTTTTCATTGCTGTCATGGAATTTAATTGAACCTTGAACACATTGTTTTGAATACTGTTAAAGCTTGTTTAGGTTTGAATTTCTTGTTTAATCAATTTATTTCCAGAAAATGTGCATCATAAATAGATTTTCTCATGCATTAAGTTCAATCCTCATGCAATTTGTTCATGGTGAGTGAATGAGGATGAGTAAACCAGTTGGAAGGATTTTGGGCCTTAATTCATTCTTAAATTGTGTGTGATGCCATCTAGCTTGGTAACTTCCTAGAACTTGTCTCAATTCTTAATTCAAGACCACATTAGCACTTGGAATTGTGAATATGAGAAGGGCATGCCATGCAAATCCCTTTTGACCAAACAGCAGCCCATTTACACTTATCCATTACTTAACCCCTTGAGCTCTTCACTATTCTTTTAAATTCCATCATGATTGATGAACATTGCACGTGCTAGACAGAAAACGTTGTTGCAGAAATGCTTGATTGGAGAGATGTTCAGTGCTGATATAGCTTTTTGCTAATTGGAAACTCATTGATATTACCTTTAGTCATTACTGATTCATTGATAGAATTCCTTCTCTTTTGCCATTTATGTGCTAATTGCTATATTATGGGGGGGGGGAAACTGGAGGAAAAGACACTAAAAAGGGCAATTGAAAAAATAGAAAAAGAAAAGAAAAAACCTAATATTAAAAAAAAAAAATAAGGCATGGAGAAAAGAATTGCCTATAGAAAAAAAAAAAAGAACATAAGAAGTAGAAGAAGTTTAACAAGTGGCAAGGGTGGTGGAATTTATTCATATTCAAACTTGTGTATGTGTGGTAGCTATAAGTTTTAATAGAAAAGGTGCATTTGATTAGGTAAATGCATAAGCATGTGTTCATTGATCATTGACATTCACTTCCATTTCATCATTTGGCTTTCCGATATTATAACCTTTTCAAAGACCCTTTAATTCACAAGACCTTGTAGCATATAATAAGTGGTGGCGATGTAGGATGGTTACAAGCCTATGGTGAAGCCTAAACTAGATAGTCTTGAGAGAGATAATCTTGATCTATGAGAGTGAGGGAAACACTTTTACCTTGAGAGAGACCTTATCTTCTATTTGCTTCCCTTAGATGAATTGCATGATTGTGATTGATCTTTTAACATGTGACTGTTTTGGACTGATGGCATTTGAAGGGAATGGTTGATGAACAAGTATTTCATTTTTGAGCATGATTTAGCATTCTTCATTAATAATGTGCTTGAGACTGAGCTTTATTCTATCATTTTGTCCCAGGAGTGCCAAAACTTAAGTGTGGGGGAATTTCATAAACCATATATTACATGTGCTTAGAATGTATATTTTGCGCTATTTTAAGAAATAGATTGAGCATTAATTTCATTAATAAATGAATAAAATGTTGATGCACTTAAGATATTTCAAATAATTTTTCTTATGAAATTCCACAGTTGGATATTACTTCTAGGTTATTGTTTTGGATACATGGGTAGAATTGGAATTATGAAGCAGTAGAAATGCATTTTGTCATGACTATCCTTTATACACCAATATAGTTGTTCTATTTAATCTTGAATCATTAAAAGCCAGGTTTCAATCCTTGGGAAGACAAATTTTTTTTTCCCAAATACAAAGTCTGATCCTGTTCAAGGAATAGGATTTTCTGAAAAGTTTTAAACCTTTTAAAATTCACTTTTCAAGTAACCTGTCTAGTGATTCGAGTACTCAATTTAACCCTTTTACAAAAACGGTAAAAATTGTCTAAGACCCATAATTCGTATTCAACCATCGAACCCATTCTTTTTCCATCCAACCTTTTTGGATCCCATATCAAATCAATTATAGCCAGTAGGATCTAACATTCAACATTCTGGCCATAGGCTCGTACAACGAGTTACATATACAGATACATATAATTTTAGACAAAATAATAACTATATATCAAAATATTGATCATTTCCTTCAATAGTAGTTACCATGGTTTATCTGCCCTTAACCATCTCCTTATGGAGGAATATTTACATACCAAAATAGATACACAATATATTTTCACTTCAAAATAAGATGCATTTTAAGCAAAATATATATATACAAAAGATCGTCCGCTTCCTGCACCTTCAAACTCCACTGATCACTACTCCCTTGCCCTTAGGAGTACTTGCTCTTGCTGTATTACATGGAAGAAGGGGTGAGATTCTAGAGAATCTCAGTAGTAACAAATTTCCCTCACGTAATCATACAAGATCACAAACAACATGCTACACAGGCCAAAGAAAACAACACCTTGCATCCAAATATAACCAATGATGCATATACACCATACACCCATATAGCTAATCGCTATCTATCGCGCCTACATTCCAAAAATAAATGGAAACCAGCACATATTATCATGACAAATATTATTATGCAAAGGCAACTTACATGTTCTCATGCACAATCAGTATAAAGGCACATCCAAGCATGTGGCAATCAATGCACAATCACATTAAAGGAAAAGAGTTACTACCTTTTGCTTTTTCTTCCATACTAACTTCCCCTTGCTTCTTCCTTGGCTCCCTTCTTAATGGACTTGAACAAATATCTAAACCTATAAATTATATAGGTAAGGACAAATTAATATTTGTATATATATAGATCATTTATTCCTAGTCTCCAAAAATAATTTAGCAACCTTGCTAATCTATAAACTTTCTTTCAGATTTCAATATCTATCTTTACACTTTAAACAATTTTGGACAGCATCCCATGCTTCCAAAAATACTTTAATATGTCTACATTGAGGTTTAATCATCCCTCTTCCCTTCCTATATTTCACGCCACATTCTTAAGCAAATCTGGAAAAAATTTTCCAGATTTGACACGGACACTCCCAAGCACGCGCGCGCACACACACATATATCATTTACATCTCCCTTCTTTTCTTCCCCCCCCCCCATTAAACCTCACGGCCTTCCCTCCAAAATGTCCTATAATAGTGTTTAATATTTATAGTCATACAATATTGAACCCAGACTATCAGCTTAAAAGAACGGAGATGTAAAAATAGAATCAGCCCAATTCTTTCTCCTAATGCTCCGGTCTCAAAAGGCTTTGTTCTATATATCTATATATATATATATATTTACAGCTCATGCGTTTAGCATTCAAATGCTTCTTGACCAGCAAAATCGAACAGCGTCCTTCCATCCTTAAGTCTGAAATTTTTCTTATTCAAAGCACACCCCCCTCTGCCCTCAATAACTACATAGAGCATATAAAATCAACATATTATAATCTTACAACCAGAAAATAATTAGTTATATTTAGTCTCGTTAATCATCTATTACCCAAACCAGAAGTCATTTCCAAATCCTCAAACCCCTGTTTCAGAAACTATAACCAGAGCAATCAACAAGCTTCATCCTAACTAGTAAGTGCAATTTCTATAGCTTGGCTCTCACCCTCTTTATTTTCTCCCTCAAAACCAGATTTCATCTTCATCACCACCTTGCAACACATGACTAAATAACCGAAAACAAAGATGGAAGAAGATTCAAGAGACTCACCTTGCTTGATTTCCACCTTGATACAAATCGATTCCCTCCTCTTATTGCCTTTGCTCTTCTTGCTCTCTCTCGAAGTCTCTCAACTCTTTCTCTCTGTTTTCCCTTCGAATGGCAGAGCAAAATGAGGAGGGAGGAGGTGTTAGGGCGTATTAGATGGATGAGGGATGTGAAATGTCCATTTTGCCCTTTGGTCCTCATTTTGCTTTCAATTTGGTCCTTCTCTACATTTTTTTTTGGAATAATCAAATAACTCCAGAAATCACACCTGGATATCTATATGAATTTTCTCCTTCCATTAGCTTCTTTAGTCCATAAAATAATTATCCTAAAAGGCTCAGCTCAAAAATTATCCTCTAACTATTTTCCTTGAATTTTCCAAGAAAATAGGTCCTAAATTCCTGAAATTAACTTTATAATTATTTAGATCATATTTTAAGTGTCTTAATCTCAACAATTTCTCTAAAAATTTTCTCCTTCCTCATGCCTTACTTAAATCCATAAAATTTGGGATATTACACATTTCCTGTTAGGAAGGAAAGAACAGTCTAGAGCAAAAACAATTCCATCGCTAATGGAAACCAGATTCCATCACTAATGGAAAGGGATTCCACCGAAAATGCAAATTCAGATTCTGGAATATCCATTTCTAGAAGTGGGAAACTGAAATTTGGTTCAAAAACTCTTTTAGTCCAGCTAAGAGCTAATGGAAATCGGTTGTAACAATTGGCACTCAGAAATTCATAACCGAAAAGGGGAGAGGACAAAGAGGGAGTTTGACTGACGGAAAAATAAAAAGTCCTGATTCACTGGATGCTCTATTGGTGGGGGGCTGCTAGTATATTCTCCCGAAAGTCTTTTCCGTTCGAGCTTGAGTTTGCTGGTTCAGTTTGATTTCTGTGCTCCCAACTTGTCTGCTCCTTCTTTGGTGGGAATTACCGAACCTGACATCTCCCATGGCAGAACTGTATTCAACTATTGAAGAAGGGAGAGTTTCCATCATGTGTGGCTAAATTTTGTAGATTCTTCTGAGAGCAAAACTAAGTCTGAGCTACTGGATTATAGGGGGAGTTTATATTCATCTATCATCTTTAATTGCTGTGCTAGTTGTAGAGTAATTAGAATAGAGTTTAGTTGTACTCTGTTCAGACATTGGAATGAATATGAATATTGTGTAACTAAATTCTGTGGATAAATTGGTAATTCATTCTTGAGTTAGATATTACTCAGATTCTTGTTTCAATTCAGTGATTTGAACATTGTGGTTTGATTAATTGAGTCATTCAAATAGAAGTTATGTTTGATTAAGAATGATCTGCACATTCAGTGATACTTAGCTCCAGATTAGATAATGCGATGAAGATGAAGTGAAGCTCTCGGAAGCATTAATATTTTGGTTGCCTGTCTCACTCTTTTCTTTATTACATTTTGTTACTACACGTATAACTCAAACAAAGAATTTTTCCTATTAAAATGAAATATTGATCTGTTTCTATCCCTCATTTTACTTAAATTGTGTTGATTTCACATTAAGCATTCAGAGAGTTATTAGACCAGGGATTCGATACCTAGGCTGCATCATTGTATTGCATATTTGTTCCCTAGTATTTTTGATTACCTATACGACTATGGATAGATCAATAATATTAGAGTAGGCTACTCACAAAATCCTAGCATTTAACTCTTCTTCTAAAAGCTTCAACTTTTACTCAGGATTCTAGCCTAAAAGACCTTTTCTAAAGTTTGGAATGAGAACATATATATATGATTTAGACTTAATTCCTAAATTTTCCTTGCTTAAATATTATTTAATTGTTAGATTATATCATTATAATTATCAAATTCATAACATAAATAGAAAAACACCAATTTATAACTTATGTTCTATCTTCGAAGGACTTAGATAAATAGATTTAATACGAGCTAGATTATTCTCACTATAGAAGTTAAACCATTGATCTAATCGTTGAATTTAATTTCCTATCTATCATGATACTATCCTCCCTATTATAGCTCAATCTAACAGTCAACGAATTTTAAAATGCTAATTTACTATTCAAGACTCTATCTGCTAAATTTTTTTAAAAAAAGTTGAAAACGTATCTAATAACTTGTCACTCAGAGATAGAACTGACAATCCAATCGTTGAAATTGATGATTTGGATGTCCTAAATGGGCTGACCAAATTTTAGTCCGATCCAACGATTAATAAACTTAAAACTAGCACTTTTCTGAGACTACCTCAGATATGTGCGAAAATTGTTTACTCACTCCAAGCTCCACCTACTACCTCTCATATATAGGCTTCTCAAACTTCTTCACTCTAGTGATTAGTTGATGTGGGACTTCTATACCATGCTATAATTTTCTAGAATATCACCCACACACACGAAACATCATTAAATAATAATAATAATATGCCAATATCCAAATGTTTATTAACTTAATACTAAAATATATTTATTTATAAATTTAATTAAATTCTAGATATAAAAAATAAGGATATTACAGGTATCATCGTTATCTCCTCCATTTTATTGTTCTGCTCTTGTTCTCCTCACTACCAAAAAACTCTGATTAGTGATGGAATTTTTATTTGCGACGGAATTAGCGACGGATTAGTGACGGAATCAAATTACTGACGGAATTAGCGACGGAATTGGTTCCGTCGCTAATTTTTTTTGTCACTAATTGGATTACCGACGGAATTTTAATTGCGTCGGTAATTTCCGAGAGAATTAGCGACGAAATCAGAATTCTGTCGGTAATTAGAGACGAAAAAATTCCGTTGGTAATTACCGACGGAATTCGGATTCCGTCGCTAATTCCGTCAGTAATTATCGATTCCGTCGCCAATATTTTTTTAAAAAAAAATTAAAATGCCACTCACCTTGGCCGCCACATGTCACCACCTTATCTCCACATGTTGTTGCCACCTCATCTCCTCGCCACGTGTCGTTGCCAACCTCATCTCACATGTCGCTGCCACCTCAGCTCCGCAGCCACGTGCCACGATCTCATCTTCACGTGTCCCTGCCACCTCACCTCGTCGCCACGTGTTTGCTATCTCACATGCCATCTTATATTGCCACATGTCATCACCATATAATTCCCTTCAAAGTGACTCTCCACCGGCTTGAACCAAAGACCTTGCTTGTGCACGCGCGCGTCTTCACCAGTTGAGCCGTAATGAACTTACTGACTTATTATACAAAATTAAAATATATATATATAATAATCTCTTACACAAGTAATTATTTATACACATATATATTATTAGAAACTAAAATAAACTATATAATTTTAATCATAACTATTTTGTAACAAATAATTTTTAGATATTTGTTTACTATTTATTTTATAATGCTTTATTTTTTTAAAAAAATTATTTTAAATATAATATTAATTTCCAATGACACTAATTTTGAATTTAAATAATAAATAATTTTTTCATAAATATATTTTTTAAATTTAATTCTTTTATTTAATATTTATAAGATATATAATTAATTATATATTTATTATATTTATTATATTATATATTTTAGCGACGGAATTAGCCACAGAAATTAGCAACGGAACAATTTTCCGTGGCTAAAATTAGCCACGAAAAGTATTACGTCACAAATCATAATTATAAGATTTTAGCCACGGAATTAGCCATGGAATTTTTTTGTCAAAAATTTCCATCGCTAATTTAGCCACAGAAAAGTATTCCGTCGCAAATCGTAATTATAAAACTTTAGCCACGGAATTAGCATGGAATTTTCTGACGGAAAAAATTCCGTGACTAATTCCGTGGCTAATTTTAATTATAAAAATTTACTGACGGAATTAGCCACGGAATTTTTTTGAAGGAAAAAATTCCGCGGCTAATTAGCGATGGATTATATTCCGCCGCTAATTCCGTGGCTAAATTTAGCGACGGAATTTTCGTGGGTAATCCGTCACTAATTTCGTCGGTAATTGGCTGTTTTTTTGTAGTGCCTTGCCGTGTTACTAAGCCCTAATCTCACACTCTCTTGATTCTTCTAAGATTGGTAACTTGCTTACTTCTTATCTATTTGCAACACCTCTCACGCACAAATCACAACACTTATTTTAGACTCATTTTGTTGGGGTTCCACCTTATTTGCGGTTGCAGACATAGCTCAGGTTGATGGTTGATGCTGGAAATCACTGAAAAAAGTAGGGATATGGTATTGGACTTCTTTGATTCATAGATTTTTTTATGATGTGGTGATATGTTGGCCTCTTTTGTTTAGGAAATGTATACCTTTTGTCATGATGTTTCTAATGTATAGTGACATGTTGGCCATTTTTTGTTTAGACAACATAGACCTTTTATCATGATGCTCATGATGTAAATGGCATGTCCACCTTTTTATTTATAATATTCCGTGATCATGATGTAAGATATTTTATTCTATAAATATCAAGATTAATTTTAATCATATTATTAGTGACATTTTTCATGATATCAATTTCTCATGTTATTATAATCTTTAATTTTATTCAATTTTTATCATTTTATTAAAATATTAGATAATGTATAAGTTATTTATTTCCTTTTATTTTAATTAAGTTAAAAAAATTATTCCCTTTTTATTTTTACATGAAAAATAATTTTTTTGCTAAATTATTTAGTTTCCTTGCCAATTGATTATAATAAGGGTATTTTAGTTATTTTGATATATATACATTTTCTTTCTTTTTTGAGTGATAATATTTTCTTTCCTCTCAACTTTTCTTCTCATCCAAACAGAAGGTAAATTTTCGTCCAAATAAGGGGAGGGGTTCATTTTCCCTCCCCTCCTCTTCCATCCTCCCTTCCAATCAAACACACCCTCTAGCGGTGGATGAAGACGTGAAAATTTGGGATCTCGGGTGTCATGCACCCCACCTTGTTGCTTATTTTTGGGTGCTTCCTAAATGTTTTCTTTTTTCATATTTTTTTTATTAAGTTCTATGTAAAATAAACAAAATTTTAATATCTCATAAACAAAATTCAGTTTTTAGTTTTTTAATGATTTTTTTAAAGATTTGAGAATTCTAAATTTTAAAAAACCGTAAAATTTAAAAATGGAATATTTTT